CTCCGGGTGGGCGCACGCCGGCGAGCGGCTGGTGAAGGTGAAGCGCGGCGCCGGCCCGGCCTTAGGGCGAGGCGAGGGCGAGAGCCTTTGGGTGACTCGAGGCTGCTTACACAGCCTGGGGCTCTTCCACGGGGAGTGGGTGTCCCTCACGGGCCAGGAGGGAGACTCCCCCGGGGACGGAGCCAGCCACCTGGCCGTCGTGCGAGTCCTGGACCAAGAGTGGGGGTTTCCTCTTCGGGACCCCGAGGATCGGCCCCGCCGAGCCACCGGGGAAGACGACGACACCTTCCCGCGTGAAATAGGGCTGGCCTCCCCCGCCTTGGCTTTCAATTTGTCCTGCGACCCTTTGGAAGGAAGCCTTCTTAAAATCCAGGTGAGTGTCTTGAGGAGGTGTGACGGAAGCGGTCCAGGCACTTGCTGGGGAAATAGAGGTTTCCAGCCCAACCAAGCCCTTGAGCTACATAAAGTAGACCTGCTGACTCTTAAGATATTTCTGCGAAGGGTCTGTTCAATCATGGTTCTGCCTCACCAGGAATTATATGTGTGGTCTTCTGTGATAAAAGTGTGTCCTCTTCCATCAAGCTATGAGTCTTTCCCTAAAGTTGGGTCTCTTTTCCCACGATTCAGAATTTGCCTGGAAACTAAATCCTAAACAGCAAAAATAATCCTTGGCCCAGCAAAATCTGTCACATTCCAATAGGGTAAATCTATAACCAATCTACTTTGTTATGGTTTGTACAGGATGTTAAATACTAGCACCAAGAGGACAATTGGGCTCTTGAACAATGTCATGATCACCTTAAAAGGAATTTAGTTACAATATATTGCAAAACCCAATTTTTAACTTTAGATATATGGGAATAAAAGGGAAGTGTTAATGTACTAAGTAGCATTATGCCTGAAGTTGTCTTATGAAATAGTACAAGAAAGCAGGGTGGTTAGTGGAGATTACCACTTGAGAATAGAAGATCTGAAAATATATTAAATGGGACAAACATGGTTCCTGTGTCTAAAGGTAATATGTTTATGATTGTAGATAGATCTGCAGTCTGAGTTAAGCATATGAAAATATGTCAGTCTCCTTTCTATTGTGTTTCTTAAAATCTCACTGGCATTCTTGTCTTCTCCCAATTCTCCCAGTTGTTGAATCAACGTCACAAAATTTTCAAAAGGTTGCAAGACCTTTTCCATCCCACATAGTAATATGTGAGATGTTATTCAAGATATTTGCATATTAATCAACATTTCTTGTGCTGTACACCTTTCTGTACAATTTCCAGTTCAGGAACTTGTGCTTCAGTACATTTTAAAAATACTATATGTGTTTTTGTGTATATTTTTTCATTGCCAGCCTCAAACATGAGAAGTGGATATTTTTATAGGCAAAAGTGAACACATTGGATCACTTTTGCATCCCCAACCAGGATGTCAGAAAAGCTTTCTCTCGATCCCCTCAGCTCTGTTAATGTTCATCTTTGTATGAAAGCTTGCATGTCTGTTCCCTGCACAGATGTGCAGTTGAATGAAAGGAAAACATCCACTATTCACTCAAAGTATCCAGAATCCTATTGATTTAAATTACTGTGTGCGGGTAATCATGGAAGATGCCTCACCATCAAGGGCTGAGTCTCTTTTGCACAATCAGTTGTGCACTGATCAGAAAATCAGGTGTCTGATCAGTTGCATGATGCATACCATGTCACAGTGAAAAAATCCACTGCGTGATTGTTTTTATGCATGCAGTTTTTGTCAGCTGGATTTTGTCCTTCAAGTTTATATAAATGTTTTACAAAGGATTGTTGTGATATAGCTGTACACATGGGATGAACTGATTGATGCCCACTTGTGCTTGGGATTTTTCTCTATTCTGCTCTGCACATTTGTACCTCTGATATCTTTGACAGGAGATTGGGAGACTTGCATGAGGGCTGAAGAAAGGTGGAGGGATTTGTAAGCAGTGGGATCAGAGGAAAATGATGAACAAAAATGCAAAATGTTACAATTATGTTAAAGCTAAATATCTATACAAGTTGTTGAAGTTTCAGTTGTGAAACAGGATGTTAAACAACTTTAGGATTATGCACAGAGAGGGGAGTTAGGGTTTTTCTATGTCACTGGTTCCCAACTTTAATGGTCCTTAGCTGTTTTTGGTCTACAGATCCCAAAAATCTTGGCCAGCACAGCTAGTGGTGAAGGTTTCGAGAAGTTGTAGTCCAAAAACATCTGGGGACCAAAGTTGGGAACCACTGCTCTAGATCATTACAGAATGTGGAGGGTTAGGGCTAGAACATAATAGCTAGCTGTAGCTATAGAAGATTGATATTTCAACCTCCTAGTTATCAATATCACAAAAATAAAACAGAATAGGGCTGTTTGTCCTCTGTAGAGATATGGGGAAGCTGCTGGTGTGCAAGAGGCAAAAGGAAGCCGGTCCTTGTTATCTGTGCCACCCTTTGCCGTAGAAGATTGATATTTCAACCTCCTAGTTGTTAAATCAATATCACAAAAATAAAACAGAACAGGGCTGTTTGTCCTCTGTAGAGATATGGGGAAGCTGCTGGTGTGCAAGAGGCAAAAGGAAGCCGGTCCTTGTTATCTGTGCCACCCTTTGCCAAGGAGCTCCACATAGAGATTGTGTCCTCACCAACCTACAGCACCAGAGGAGTCTATGACCAAATTCTCTACCGACACTTTCAAACTCCAAGGTTAGACTTTTAGTTAAGATTACAACATCTGGGTCCCTGTATATGAGATCAAGGGATAATCTTGGTGTTGTGCTTTCTAGTTGCTGTGTAAGCACACTGTAAGTGGGGCATGGCTTTGTTCACATGCGCCATGCTTGAGAAACGTGCTTATGCTTTTCTCCTGAGTAACTGGAAGAGTGAAAAATTGGTTTTGAGGATGTTTAGATTGCCCTCTTAAAACAGTGGCATTTGTGCTGGCTGAAGTCTTACTAACTTCTGTCTCACAGTAGACTACAAACGTTTACATTTACATACCAACATTCTGCAGTTAGAGCAGAGCAAGGTGTGCTGCTTATATACTGCACCAATCGTGCTTAAAGCACTCTGTGTGGTTTATAATTCAATTTACCGACTTTAGAAGGATGGAAGGCTGAATGAACCTCAAGCCAGCTACTTGGAATTGAACCCTTGTCATGAACAAAGTTTGGGCTGCAATACAGCAATTTAACCACTGCACCACGAGGCTCCTTGTTGAGTCTGTCCTAAGGAACCTATGTGTCAGGTGACCTTTATGGACTTGCCTAGTCATTTCTGAAGATCTGGTGGTCAGTAACTCTGGTCATAAAACGTCAGTAAGAATATTGATGTTTTTGAAACTTGCATTGAATGCATTGTATTTCTGTAAAATAACAAATGAAACATGACATATAGTATGTAGCTTAAGAGGCAGTACTATTTCACTGGTTTATGTAAAATATATTACATTAGTATTACTTTTTCACTTTACTGGAAAGATGCTAACCCTGGTTTTTAAATATACTGGTTAATTACCGTATTCTCTCCAGGGTAGAAATCTAAATAGACATTACATCACACTAGTTCTCCAGTCTGTGAGAGGGAAAAGATGTCAAATATTTCTGATAGCTTCTCCTCTTCTTTATCAGACATTGTGGGATCCGTAGATTTTCTCTTTTCACTGGGTAAATTGATGTAATTATTCTTTTCCATGGCTGTTTTCATAGGCTAGTCCAAGAGGAGGATATTTTGTGCATTCCAACGGTTGGGCATCCTGATTTCTTAGAAGAAAATTCGGAAGAGTTTTTTAGGTATGTCATCTGATACAAGCCCAAATGAATTTTTAGTTTGCAGCCGTCAAGCTGCTTATTCTGAAATCTAGTTTTAAGTATCTTGGGGTTCTTTGAAATAACTTTCTGATGAGAGCTATCCTGGAAAGTTAGAAAATTATTAAGTATGAACTGAGGGTAGCTTTCTTGATCAGCTTGCTAACTTTAAGATGGACTATAGACTAAGAAGGTTCTGTGGAATTAAAGGTCATGCATTACTCAGGAAATAAGAACTAGTGGCCACTGAGAAGTTCCCAACTTCTTCTGTTCCCACAGAATATCATTCTTTAAATATTTTCGTTACTGCCTATTATTCCTTGATCCAGGATCTTTGTTACTGCTGTTTTAGACTCTTTGCTTTTTCTTCAGGTGGCCAGACCTGTACTTCAAGGTGAAAAAGGTATTACCAGTTGAGGAAAAAGAGAAAAGTGTGGGCTACCTGGCTGATACTCAGAACACTTCTTTATTCCTGGTAAGGGATCAAGATAGTATTAAGGATTCCATTGTAGTATTTATGACTTTTCTAAATCTACTGCAGAAAACAGTGATGCTTTCTAAAGGAATGGTTTTGGCAGGGGTTTAGGTAAATACATGGAGTTTAGAGTTATTAGTGGCTGTTCATCAGGATTATGGGTATATCTAGCACCTCCATGCATCTCTTTTATCACTTGCTAGGGGATGCGAGAAAATTGCGCCCATATTTTATACTGCTTAGCTTTTATGTCTTGCTGTTAGCCACCCAGAGTAGACTTCGGTCTAGATGGGCGGGGTATAAGTGGAATGAATGAATGAATGAATGAATAAATAAATGAATCAATCAATCAATCAATCAATCAATCAATCAATCAATCAATCAATAAATAAATAAATAAATATCCTGCCAGAGGGATTTCCATAGGTAGATGGCTGGCCATTGTGTGAGCAGAATGTGGAACTAGCATGTTCTTACAATGTGTAGATTAGCAATGTGTGGGACATGCAGTCCCTGGCCTGATTTCATAAAACCTGTAAAAAATCAATTCATATCTTTGTCCTCTTTCTTACAACCCACTGACAGGGAAGGGGGAGAGAGAGAGAGAGAGAGAGAGAGAGAGAGAGAGAGAGGCTTTTTTAGAGTGATAGAAAAGGAATGTCTCTGTTCATTTGTAGCTCTGCTCCTCACTCATTGCTACTTACATTTCCCACGACTGGCATGTAGTCCCCAAGAGATTACTCCAGAAAGAGTATGTATTTGACAAAAAAAAATCCCCTATAAGCCTTACTTTAGGGCCAAAATTCTGTTGCTTCTCTGCAGTGTAAGTGAGCAATTGTGCAAGTGAACCTACCAGTACTGTTGGTCAGCTGTTGTGCTCCTCAGCTTTCTCAGATCAGAGAAGCAGTAGCACATTTAGTGATGTGACAGATGTCAAGCAATGAGAGAAAATTGCTGCACAGTTGCCCTTTTGCCCAGAGTTTCCCCCACAGTTAGGATTGTGGCCTAGAAAAAAGAAAATGCTAAGCACCTTACACCTAACTTTTATTTTCCTTACCAGAAGAAGTAGGGAAATCATCCACTTCCCACCTAAGAAAATCTGGCAGGACCATTTGAGTCACAAGCTATTTACATCTGCTGTAAACGTGTTAATTGACTGACTTGAGAAGGCCTGTTTCTGTGGAGCAGTGTTCAACCTCCTTGTCTTGTAGGTTGGGTCTACTAACAGTGCCATTCCATCTCTCCCATCTCAACATCCCCATGGTTTTTGGAGCAGCCTGTTACCTGCTGGACTGGGCACTATAGTGAAGCAGCTCTGTGACATACTGGGCCCTCACTTGCACAGTAGGTAAGTCAGCTCACAGGTTTTAAGTTCCATCACATGGCAGACAACAGCAGGTCACTGTGGAGTAGACATGGGCACAGACTGCAGTTTGGCTTCACAGTTGTTCCATGTGTGCCCCAGCTTTCTTTGCCCTGTCTCCTCCAGTGGGCATCCTCTCAGAGGCAGCAGTTCAACTTCCCAGCCCCGCCTCCTCCAGGTGCTGCCTCTGAGTGGGTGTCAGCTAGAGGAGATGGGACAAGGGAAGCTGGGTGAACACGGGACAGCTGTGCATCCAAACCACAGTTCATGCTCAGCTCTACTGTGAAGACTCCAAATGGGTTCTCTGTAACTATTGCCTTTTGTTCTTAAGTGGTTATGAACCCCCAAGCTATATTCCACTTATATGCTGAGAATTACAAATATTTTTCAAGTTATAGAGAGCTCTTCATACTTAAGCTTTGTGCATAGAAAATGCTATGAGGCCATCATACTTCTGTGAGGTGCTTCCATTGTGTGTAACCAGTGATGTAAAAGAGGTTGATGTTTTCTAGGCTCTTTCCTGTAGCCCAAAGAAATAAAACCAATCTCTCTTTTGAATCTTTGGGTCTGTATGTTGCATGTTGTCCTACAATATCACTTCTTTCCTTTTTGCAAAATGGAATCAGTAAGTTGTCAATTTATATGTTCTAGGGGGACTCTATTGAATGGAGCTGGAAGCATTCTTCTTTCAGGACCAAGTGGTGTGGGGAAAACGATAGCTATCAGAGCGGCCTGTAGCTGCCTCAATCTTCATTTGTTCAAGGTAGTCTGAGTCTTTTAATTAGATATTTAAGCCAACAAGATACTGTCTTTTTCACAAACAGTTGCATGCTCACTGAAGTTGGAGAAACAAGTTGATTGATTAGTAAGGTGCTGTGTACAGTGGTGCCTCGCAAGACAAGCACCCTGTTTAATGACGAAATTGCATCACGACAAACTTTTGCAATCGCAAAAACAGTCGCTTTACAATGTTTTAAATGGGTTTTTTACAATCCCTTTACGATGTTTTAAATGGGGTCTTTTCGCTTTGCGATGATCAGTTCCCTGCTTCGGGAACCAATTCTCGTAAAATGACGTTTTTCGGCCAGCTGATCGGCAGTTTCAAAATGGCCGGCGGGTAAAAAAAATGGTTCCCTGCTCTTTTCTGGGACGGATTCCTCGCTGCATGGGCAGCGAAAATGGCCATGCTATGGAGGATCTTTGCTGGATGGTGAGTTTCAATCTCATAGGAATGCATTAATCGGGTTTTAATGCATTTCTATGGGCTTTTTTATTTTGCATTACGATGTTTTCGTTCTACAGTGATTTCGCTGGAACGAATTAACATCGTAATGTGAGGCACCACTGTATTTAGCCAACTGCACGATAAGGTATACAACCAGCATCTCGCTAATTAGTTTCAGTTAGTGGCTGTAACTTCTGTGACCACACCAAGAAAAAAACCAATAAGATTTTGGCCTTGGACTCTTAACATGCATAGAACGAAGGACTTTAGAGAAGGACCGTTGGGAGAGAGAACAGATTTAAAAAATTTCTTTACCCAGCGTGTTGTTAGTTTGTGGAACTCCTTGCTACAGGATGTGGTGATTGTATCTGGCTTAGATGAATTCAAAAGGGGATTGGACAGATTTCTGGAGGAAAAGTCCATCGCAGTTTACAAGCCATGATGGAGATGTACAATCTCCAGGCATAAGAAGGAAGGTACTGTTTCCTTCTGTATATAAGATGATACTTTTGTCTAAAAAAATTTAGATTAAAAATTGAGGGTTGTCTTATACACAGAAGCAAGGAGGGGGAGGGATCAATGTACTTTGATCTCTGCTTTCCCCTCCACTATTTTTGGTTAGAAACGTGAGGGGGGGGTTGTCTTATACATGGGGGTGTCGTATACAGGGGGAAAAAGCGGTACCTCCAAATGCAGGGGAGGGGTACCAGGAGACAGGTAAAGTGGTACCTCCTCCACTTTATTGAGAAGAAAGAAATTTTGGATTAGAAAAGTGGGGGGGGTGTCTTATACATGGGGGTGTCGTATACAGGGGAAAAAAGTGCTACCTCCAAATGCAGGGGAGGGGTATCAGGAGACAGGTAAAGTGGTACCTCGATTTATGAACTTAATCCGTATTGGAACAGCATTCGTACGTCGAAAAGTTCGTAAATCGAGGCAAAGGTTTCCCATAGGAATGCATTGAAAACCATTTAATCCGTATCTTTTGACCAAACTCCGGGAGGCAGTGGAAGACAGGAGGGCCTGACATGCTCTGGTCCATGAGGTCATGAAGAGTCGGACACGACTTAACGACTAAACAACAACTATAGTCTTTCTTTAAAAATGCTGCTCTGTTGCCCAGTTGCACCTACAATTAAAGGGCCTGGCTGATCATTACAGTTTTGCCTTCAACCCTTTTCTCACAGTGCAAGGCCTTCATCTCTCTCCTTCTCTTTGATTACATGTAGGTGGATTGTGTTGGTTTATGTGGTGACACCAGTGCATCTACAGAAGCAAAGCTTTGTGCTGCCTTCTCACAAGCTGAACTCTACAACCCCTGTATCTTGCTGATGAAAGATATAGAGATGCTGGGGAGAGATCGTGATGGTCTTGGGGAGGACTCCAGAGTTATCCTTGCATTAAGGCGCCTTCTCCTTGATAGGGAGACAAAAACTAGGTATAAAGAAAGTCACTAAAATTTTCGGATATTCTTCTCCGAAATATGCCTATCACCAGTTAATTAGAACTCTGTAAACTGAGTCACATGTAAATGTTTAGGTGATGATGAAATAATAGACCT